ATTATCTCTTGAACGTTGTTGAAAAAATGCAGTTTTTTTCTTTATTTAAATTGAAGCATTTTGCATAGCTTGAGGCGCATTCTTTTAAGTATCGAAGAAATTTACCATGTTTTGCACTTTCGACTAGAGTCATCACCACCGTTAACAGTTGTTTAAAACACAAGAATAAAAACACCATCCGATTTTGTTATAGATATATTTTGTGAGTTTATTTGACAGTAAATTCCAATACTACGTATTCATATGATTTATTCTATTCTATGAATAAATTTAATAGATTTGTGTGTGTGTTTAAAATTAGAAATAAATTGTTATAGATTATTATTCTGCATAAAGATAGAAATTGTACGTAAAAATCTTTGATCTTATCGCGAAAGGGGGAAGGGAAGAGAAAGAATCGAATTGAAAAGAAAGGGTGGGGGTGAGTTGCTTATAAAATAAATCTTAAAAAAGTGAGAAAAGGGGGATTAAAAGCTATTAATGATAATTTTGTTTAAATAAATGATTTAAAGAGAAAAAAACGATCAATAATCATTGACAGTATTAACATAAATATATTACCATTTGATAACATGTTCGGTAGAATATTATTTCTTATCTAGTTGAAGTGTTATTTTTTTGCAAATGTTTTTTTTTCGTCATCTTTTATTCGCTTAAAAAAAATAAGTAAAATAAAGCTGATTTTCTTTAAAAATACTATAAAAAAAATCTGTGGAATAAAGATGAACTTATTGTTAATATTGTTGTATGTGTTTCGATCAGGGATTGGTGAAGATTCCCTGAAAGCTGCTTTTTTTTAAATCTTTGGTTTTTTGTTTAAATGTCCGCCACCCACAATCTCTCTCAATGTGTTCATGCGCAGACCGTCGATGGTAAAAATTGACTCTTTTGGATTAGTTTTTCTGTGGGGCGCTTCAATGGAATTCTCTCTGGCCGTTTAACATCATTTTTTTTCCCTAATAGATGCTGCTTTATTTGTTTGATTATTCAATAGAATTTGTTTGTTTGCATATTACACATTAAATGACATTCATAAAACAGTTAATATGATTGTGAATAATACTAATTATTTTGTTTGTCATTTGATAACATTCAATTTAAAAACATTTTCATAATTTTTGTTTTGGTTGGTATAATAATCTTTGTTAATTTGTGTGTGTGTTTTTTGTATTGTTTTAACATCGATGCTAATTTTTGTGGTTAATTTGTTTGTCATGTTTTTGTTTAAATATGTGTCACGCTCATTTGAAGACCCCTCGCCATAGTTGGGCTCATCATAGCAAAACCTTCCAAAAGATTATATTTATCCATCGTATTTTTTTTTATCTTTTTGTTTCCCTTTTCCACATTTAAATAATCTCTTGCATATTTTATTTGATTTTTTTCTCTAAATCGTATTTTTTCAAAATATTTAGTTGGAATTTGTGATTAATTTTCTTGTAATGTTTTCCGTTCATATAAAACTAATATCATATCAAATAACACTTTGAAATTGAATCGTTTAGAATTTGGCGTTCGAAAAGTGGAATAATGGAATGGAATCCCATTGCAGAATGTATTGGTTTTTGTTTGCTAATTTTAGCAAAACATTTAACATACACTCTGCATTTGAGATTCATACAAAAATCCATTTGAGTGAATAGTAAAATTTAGCTAAGAAGATGCGAAACGCCCAAATGGACAGTTTCTTCGAATAATGTGTTGGTTGAATTAATCATTTGGGCGATGATTCTCTTAAAATTGTCTAACGGTTAAATGATTTGTATTTTCTTAAGGTATTTTTCTATGTCCTTCATGCAATCCTATCAATAAAATGTCATCAAAATTTTCTTTCCCTCAACAAGCAATCAAATTTTTCAATATATGTTTGCCAAATGTCTCATCAAAATCTCTACAGTCACTACAGACTGTTATGTAATTTTTTCAAAAACCCATAAATGTAAATAACTTTTTCTTTGCATTTCTTTTACATTAAAATATTATAAATTGTTTTTTGATTGCACTGTCTGGTTTTTGTTGCACTGCTGCATTAATTTCTACGATGTTCTCTCTTTTTGAAAATACGATTATTACAAATATTTATACACTTATTGAATAAACTATGACGATTAGAGCCCGTTGTCGTCGGTTGCACGCCGTTCGTATGCACAATTTTGTGTGCAACGAATGAACGACGTTAACCGACGATTTCGATCTCTGGTGCATTGATGTCGTGTGTATGGTGTGTGTGAGTGTGTTTACGATTTACGTACGCAATTTGCATACCGCAAATGATGAATAGCATAATTGTGAATGAGTGAATGTTGCTAAATTATGTGCTGCTTATTGTTGTTGAATGTGTGCGATTGTGATTTGTGTCATAAACTTTCTAACTCTAATACGGACTATTCTCTATGACAAATGTGTATTATTTCTTTTTCTTTTATTCCATTTCGCTGTGTGAAAATTTGATTTTTGCGAGCACACATGCAACATGCGACATGCATCAGTTTTCGATTTCAAAGCTCAGTTCCTGCGTTGTCCCGTTCATATACCATATCTGACTAATCATCGGCTTATTTACATTGGCGATATTGAATGTGGCGGTGTTGTTGAGCTGGGCATATATTCCTTTAGCAAATCGCGAAGTCGCAAAATTTCCTTTCCAGCTGCCGCCAAATCCCCTTGTAGCGAAAGTTCACGCTCACGTAATCGTTTAATGTCCCTTTGGCATGTCTGCAACAAATCAAAAATTTTAGTCGCATGTTGTCAAATTGGCGTTAAGTTTTTAAGAGCTCGGAAGAGCGGAGTTAAATTACTTACCACATTCTGTCGCAAAAGATCCAACTTATCACATTTCAATCGCGTTACTTCCTGTTTTAAGCCTTCGATTTGCATATTTGCTTCTGGCGGCACCATCATATTCGACGCAACCACGCTATCCAAACACAAAGAACAGGCCTTTGTTGTTGCCTCCGCCGATGACATCGATTCCAAACCAGTATCGCTGTCAACATACGTTGCTCCACCATCTAAATTAGTGAATACTTTGAGAATAAGTCACAAATGCGAATTTTGATTAGAAATGTAGCACGGCAGTTTTGGGGAACAACTAAACACAACCATTTAGGCATTGTCCACAACATCGAGCGCATGCATTACATTACAAATACTACGACAATGAATTATCTTTACACACGATTTAAGATCGCTTTGCCTTACCCATTGGATCAAGCTCAACACTGTTCAAACTCGAATCGTCGCTTGTCTCAGACATTGTTGCAGTCAACGGGCCATTGCCGTTGTTATTCAAATTGTTGTTGATATTATTCGAATGATGGTTCGCATGGCTGTGGCTGTTGTTGTTATTGTTGTTATTTGCACATAATGGGCCGCGAGATGTGATGTCGGGCGACGACGATGACGAATCGTTGGTTGACTTTTTCGAATCGCTTTTGTTTGAGTTCGAGCGAGCGATCTGTTCATTACAACACGAGTAACATTCATTAGAAATCAATTCAATATAAAACGATAAAAAGTATTGTCGTTTTGGGCGACAAACGACCAATTCGAAAAATGTTAAAATTGTAGCTCACCTGAATATTTTCCATGATCGTAGCTTCTTTTGAACCCTTTTTGGTATTGAAGCTGATTCGATTTGCTTCACTGGCAACATTTGCGTCCACACTCTGGGATCGCACTCGCGAAATTAGCGCCTTTTTAACGGTGTCAATGAATCGGGATCCAGCATTGCTGCTATCGGATTTCGGTGTATCGGGTGCTGGTGATGTTGCACCACCTGAGCCCACATTAGCGCCTAAAAAGTCTCGTGTTTTCTCTTTCAATTCATCGACCAAATTCTGCAAAAGTGATGTGCGTGTTCTCAATTCAAGTCGGGCGAATTTGTCAGCTTTATAGCACGCATTTTCAGCATTGATTAATTTCGTGAGTAAAAATTCCTTCAATTCGGATCCCTTGCGGAATACGGCTGGATTTGGAAGTGTTGGGCCAAAGAAAGGCACATCATCCCGGGCCGTGACTGAAATTTTATATCTGGTGTTCGGTGTGTTCGGTTCCAACGGTTGGATCACGATGAACGCATGCAAAAAGTGGCTGGCAATCATGTCTGGCGAAAATGGAGTATTCGATTCTTGGAACACAATAGCGACAATGTCATTCCCGATATGTCGTTTGCGCTGCAATTGTTGTGAATCACCTTCGGTGAATGGGAGCATCGTACTCACGTGGAACATAACCTCTCGTTCCTTGTAAACCTCATAAATGGCTTCGTCGCCGGTGTGTCCATTTTGGATGTCTAATCCACCGCGATAGCCTTTGTGGTCCTTCAATCGGATGCGCTGGCCAAGCATATCCAAAAATTCATCAAATGCCGGCGATGAGTTGGTATTTCCGAAGAGTTCTTCTTCGGTTGTTTGACCGTATCGTTGATAGAGCACACCGAATTTGAAGTTAGACACCAGAACATGTTCGTCGTAGGCGGCAATCATACCCGACGCCTTGGGACACATAACTGGCGTGAAATTGTCCACATTAATTTGATCGTTTAGCAATCGTGCCATGCGAATTGGTGACGGGCTATTGCCCAAACATGAAACGGGTATGATTTCATGCATGGTGCCCGTTTTTAATCTCAACAACATTCTGATATGTTCCTGGTTCGCAACATTTTCGGTTTTGATCGATAATAGAACTGGTCCGAGTTGATCATCATCACCCACCAGATTTGAGTGTTCTCGATTGATATAGAAACGCCTATAGCATTTGGCTGTGTCGTCTGTTTCAATTTTGCTGCGCCATGCGTTGTGCGGCAAAACTGGATTGCCAAGTGCATCGAATGCGCATTCATGGTCGGTGCCGTCGACCCAGTAGCCGCCGTTATTTGGCAATACAATCATCGAATATGGGCCCGGTTTTGAGAGTGTCTCTTCGAGTAGCCGCTGTGATGCTGGTATTGTGGATATAATCGAGGATGACTGTGAGCTAACCGATGACTGTGAATGATACTGATGATGGCCATTTGACAGCTGATGATGGTGCAACTGTGGCGATGCCGGCGTCGAACCGGACTGTGATAACGAATGTTTCAACTGTTTGTGTGTTACATATTGCCCATTTGACGGTAAACTGTTCGATTCAATGCCTCCATGTGGATTTGGTACACGCTCTTCACGTGATCCCTGTACAAAAACACAGAAACAAAAATGAAACGTGAGTAAATTAGAAAATGAATTTTTTATCGCGTTGTTTACGAAATAAAAAACTAAATATAAAAATGTATCAATATGGAAATCAAGCACAGGAATTCAACCTTGAATCGAATTTAATCGGATCGAAAGTGGGGAAGGGTTGATTTATTATGCAAATTAGAATGTGGAAAGAACAGTCACCAAGCGCAAGGTTTTCGTATCGATTTATACATGTGTGTATGTTGTTCACATGGTATGTTTTCCACCGATTTGTTCGTTCATGCAAAAATCATTTCGATGGCATGTGGAAATGAAATGAAATTGCAGTCGAAATGAAAAATTTGTCTCCGACTCATTTTCGTCTCAAAGCCTCGCCCAATCGTTCGTGTACTGTACATGGACATCAGTCGAACGTCGGGAAATCAAAACCAGCACACGCTGAATTCTAAACCAATGTCAACTCTGACCTTCTCGAGCAAATCAAGTAGAAAATACGTAGAGAAAAAAAGCGGCCGCGCTTTAATGAAATTCATTTTATGTAAAGCGTATAACCTTCAAAAGGCTGGGCTTTGATTAACTGCGTGACATGTCTATGTCAAGGTGGCACTTTTATGCTTGCATTCTCACGCATGAAAGCGATAATAAAGTCACATTCATCATAACAGTAACTCATTTTCTTCTTCTTTTTTTTTGAGTGTGGATATTTTTTGCGACACGTGAGCCAGTTCGTCCCAACTCCATATTCTCGGTTTATCTGTGCGTACAGTCTGCTTACTTTATGTGGTAGCAATAATAATGTTATGAGCCTTTTTAAGGTGAGCAAATGCGATTATTCCACATAAACTCATTGCCGCTTTTATTTACGACACTCTTTACTCATTCATTGAACAGTAAAGATTCACCATTTGATGGCTACTGTACAGTATTACATAACATTAATCTATTACAATAGATTTTTTTTTGCATTTCACACTTGTAAAATATTCTTCTGTTTTCTTTTTCTTTTCAAATGAAGCAAGGAACAAAACAAAAATGCTTACACACAAATTGAAATGTTTCGCCCATTGTATTTCGGTGTCATCGTCAGATTTACACTCATGCTATGAAGTCATAATATCATTTCATTGGCAGTACAATGATGTTCGTGATATTTGATCATAAATTTCATGCATAAAAAACCTTGTGTGGCCGAGTTCTCCAGTTATGTCCTCTAGAAATTCTGGAGCCGAATGACTAATAAAGAGTTTTATATTTGTGTTTCTTCTTTCGTTTCATTATTCTGTCTGCAAAATATCGCCTCGGATTATTAATTGATAGCTGAATAAAGGCTGCATTCGATAAAAATGAACGAAACGAACCGAAAAACCCGAAACGAATGGAGACAATGTTGAAATGAATGGGGCAGCTGTCTGCAGTTTTATAGCAACGGATTTGTTGAGTGTGGGCTCGGAAATGATGAATATGCGGGCTCTTCGTTTTAATATCAAATTGTAATTTCCCACCACACAGATTCACATCACTTGCAAGCATATATTCATTTGCATATCGTAATCTATCAACATGAAACAATCATAAAACTTTTACTCAAGACAACGCAACAAATCAGAATGCGCTCGATTCTGCCAAGCATTCACATACACATACATTCCAAATGGAGTGATTCCACCATTTGGAATTAGTAATTATGAATATAAACACATTCTCGCACACACACACACACACAATCTCGCCGAATTACCATACAATTGCCGACGTACATGAAATCATGACGCCGCAGTTCAGTTGGTCTTACAGTCGGAGAGAAATATTTGAATTATTGTTCAAAAGTAACTTGTTCTGTGGATGATAACCATCGAACATTCCAGAAACGTTGAATCCAACAGTGAAGCTTCTGTTTATTCTAATGGTCTTTTATGTGGTAACATTTCATTATATGCTGCGATTGTATCACTATTACAAAATATAATGAGCGAATTTTATTTCAAACTTACGATTCACACACATACATACTCACACAACGAATCGCTGAAGATTCCAACGACTTTAGAATGATTGCAACATGAAAATTAGAATGATACCAATAAAACAACGTGTCGGACTATAAAACGCCAGCCAACATGTAATTTGAGTGAAAAAAATTAATCATCGGAACCAAAGAGAAAAGGTAACCACGAAATTTGGTGTAGTCTATCTTAAGAATAGCTATCATTGGTGGATAATCTTCATGAGATTGTACAGGCGATAAATCGCTCTTTCAATTGAGAAAAGCAAATGAAATTTAATTAGAGAAAAACAAAATGGGGAAAAACGGAAGAAAATCATATTTTAAAAGTTTCTCGAAGCACGCAACAGTGCCAATGGCGAGGATTTGGTAAAATCTCCTGTTCTCTGTCTCGCCGCCCCCTTTCGCGCATAGATTGCAATATTGTGATTACAAGGTAATACGAATATCGTATAGCCGGGCGCAACAATTGAATATGCACAATTACGCGTTAGTCTAGTGAATGAGTGTGGGTCGTCGCATTTTTTTCTGTTCACGCTTCGATGAAGCGACATAAAATATGGTTAGTTGATGTGGTTGTCGATGCGCACAATGTAATTCAGAAAAAAACCAATTTTGCTACGTAAAAGAATGTCGATGGAATGAAAGCAAGTGGAAACTTCATCGTTGGCGTAATCCGGATCAAGCAGTGTCGAGAATAATTTGCACTTTTATTGAATTTTCTGTTTGTGCACTTATCGATCGGATATGAAGAACACAAAAAAGAGCTCTACGATGGAAAGTTTTTTTTTTCATCTCATCCATCGGTTGGCTCCATAGCTCACTGTGTGTATGAGCAAATAATAATGGAAAGTGCTGGTTTAAAATGATTAAACAATTTCATAAATTTGAATGGCCAAAAGCATTCATGATAATTCATTAAATGCACAAATTTAATTAATGTTGGAAAAAAGAGCGAACGAGTAGACAAACGAGTACAATTGCAAAATTGAAAACTTTGTTTATGTGCATCACGATGGAAATGCGCGAACAAAAACATACAAATGAATCAAATGGATATTTTCCCATTCTACATAACGAAGTGAGAGAGCGCAGAGCGCGCGCGCTTGTTGCACTGAAACGCACACAATGGACCGGCGCGTCCTCCGGTCCGATTTGTTTACATAATCATTTTCGTTGTTTGCATGTGCTTTATCTTCGAATCGTGTGTGTGTGTATGTGTGTGTTAGTATGTCTGATAAAGCGCACAAAATTATAATAGATTTCATATTGTCGTTAACACAACCAAGATGTCATACGGCCGTTGATTCTATCGGATACAGCGCTATTGTTGCATTTTTGCTCTGTTGGCTGCGGTTGTCACACTTTTATCTTGCGATCTGGATGGCTTGCAAACTCTTTCAAACTGGCTTTAAAAACAAACGAGTACAAGCATTTGAGAAACATGAAATAACAACTGCCACAACAGACAGAGGGAAAAAAATTATCTCGAGATAACATAGAAAGTTTGCAAACAAATTACGTACAAATTGTAATTTTGAGTTCATTTTATATTTATTGTTTCACAGAGGAGACATCATCGTACTCCGTATTTTTTATTCAGTTCTCTCTGACACTTGCATTTTTTTCTTCTCTTCTCTTTTCACTTTACTTTGATTTTGTTCATTGTCATGAATGAAATTGGTTGCACTGCACATACTTTTTTGTGTGTGTGTGAAGAAACTAGAATCTATCGTTTTGTTATTTAATGATATGTTCCAAAGAACAGCGCCCTTTTTCGGGGGCGTCTTTATTGGCAGAATTTCATGGTTTCTTTGTTCGCTTTTGTTAATTTATGATGCAAGGCATTTGTAACCTTATATCCGCATTGCACTACCTCTTCGTCGTTACTCGAGAGCCGAGTACAGAAAGAGCAAATGCACGAATAAAAACAACCATATGGAGTAAATGACGAAAAGGGAATAGAAGAACACCGTAAATATTTAGATGTTTGCATGTCTTTGTGTGTATTTCGAAGTGAATAACACAGCAGCACATCTTCGACAAATTTACATGTTTCGAAGTCGTGAGAAAAAAATAATTTTCAAACTGAAAGGATCCTACACAATTTCCCATGCACGCATCCTGTTCTAAGCGAAGAACACATTTCATCATATGGTCTTAAGGACCCGAGTGTTTTTTGTGTATTCTGCATCTTAAGCAACACAAAACAGTGAAGTTAATCTTCTCCATCTACTATTAGAATCTCAAGTGAAGTCAGTCGAATGAAAAGTTTTAATTTTTCGTTTGTATGAATGGTTTATGCCCATTAAAATTCCATTCTGCACGATGCTTCTGTGTTACAGCTGACTGTGTATTTTATTCAAGACATTTTGATGGTTCCGAAACAGGTGAAATGATTAATATCACTATTATAACGCGTTCATTTAACTTGACTGGGCGCTGTGTGTGTTTGCGATACGATCACGAACAGCCGTTCATTTTCTTGAATTTATGTATATGTTCTAACGTTTTTCGTTTTGCTGGTTTTTCATCCATTATTTCCATTGTAACGCTCACCAGTAATACATAATTATATGAAGAAAAAACAACTGGTACATTCTTCTTTTGGCCCATCTATGGCAAACAATAGTGAGACGAGATTCGTGATTCATTCGAGTTCTTGAAAATAATTCGCTTTTCGGCAACTCATTTACTTGACATTAATTTGATTGGCAGATTCTGATCCTTCATTCAAGAAACGAATCCCATGTCAGCGGTTTTTTGTTCTGGGCTTCTTTGGAATATTGGACAAAGACTGAGTCGAACGAGCGGAAAAGAGAGAGACCGAAAATTGCAACCTCATTTGAGTAATTTTCGGCCTAAAAAAATGATTCAGAGATATTTGTTTGTCCGTTCGTCACTTTGTTTTGTGCAAAAACCTATGATGATTTGATGCTGATGGAATAGATAATAATGATTGAATGTGACCATGACAATGGAATTGGCC